CCCTCTGTGCCAGGCATGGGGCCGGGGCCGGGCCCCTCTTTGCCAGGGGACGTGGTGAGGGGCACTGGGGGCACAGCCTGGGCTGCCAAAGGGGTTTTCTTTCACCTCTCTTGCTCCTCTGCTTCCCTCGCTTGGTTCCTTCCTTTGACTTCTTTTTGGTTTGATTGCTTTATAATGAGGCTGATACCTTGCAAACCCTGTGCTTTTGAAACGCTCCAGAAAATAAAACATGGTTTGGAGACACACACACCCCTCAATGTGTCCTTATTCTGAGCTGTATAAATAATCAATCCCTTTTTCCCAGAATCATGGAATCATTAAAGTTGGAAAAACTCTCTAAGGTCAGCAGGTCCAACCACTACCCAGCACTGCCAAGGCCACCACTAATCAATGTCCCCAGGTGCCACATCTACATTTTTTGAACACTTGCAGGGACGGTGACGCTCAGGGTTTCTATCACCCCCTCGTTGTCTGGGGTGGGGGAAGGATGAAGACTCCTTATTTTCTAGTAAATCTGAATTAACCTCATTGCTGAAGATGTGGCCTTGACACCTACACCTGCAGAGGTGTTCTCACCCACACGGGCTCTCAGGGCAGCAGTTCTTAAATCCTGCAGCAAAATCCTGTAGTAAAACACCAAAAACAATGCAAATTCCAGCTCCACATCCCCAGCACGTTGTAGAGGCTGATACGGCACGAAAACCAGGCAGGGCTGGGTTTCTTCTGAAAAAAATCTGTGAGATTGCAGGGAAAATATCAAATATGGGATTCATAGTGATAAAACTCCGTGACATTTAAATAGAGGAACTGCAGGTTTTTGATGCTGGAGATGTGTCAGTGAAGGACGAGCAGCTCCCAGGGCTCTGCTTGGCACTGCCAGCCCCGGGTGTGAGGGGCTGTCCCATCCCTGCTGGGGACCACCCTGGCCCCGGGCTGGGAAAACTGGGCACCTGCAGGGGTGTCACCCCCGGTGCTCCCGCTGTGCCCACTCCCACGGGCCCGTCCTGGCGCGGGGCACAGTCCCATCGCCGCGGGGAGGGTTGGGTGGATGTGGGTCCGGCTCACTGGGATGGGAGGGGCCATCCCCGAGCCCCCGGGGCTCGCTGGTCTCTGGCGAACATGCAGGTGTTGGGTCACCGTGGCCAGCCGGGTTCTGACACGTCCTGCCTGCCCAGTGTCACCCGCTCCAGAGCTGGACATCCCCTGGCCATGGTGCTGAGCCCTCTCAACCCCAGAAACGCCACGGACCCTGTTTGCCCCGTGCAGGGAGCCCGGACTGAGCACTGCAGGGCTACTAGAAAACCCCCTCACCCCGGGGCTCTCCCACCCACCTGAGAGCTCAAAGCATCACACCCCAGCACCGAGCCCTGGGCTGCCAAAGGACCCCGGGCACCACCCCGGGGACGGATCCCCATGTCATGAACCCCCTTCCTGGTGATGTTACACCCCTCAGGGACACCCTGACACCCCTCAGCCCTTGCAGCAGGATGGGGCTGTGACTCCAGCTCCCCCAACAGGGCATGGAGCAGAGCAAGGACAGGCTGAGACCGGGAATGCAGAAAATGGGACCTCCCCCCCCCCTGCCCCGCGCCATGGTGCCCCCCAGCATCCTGCACTGACGGCCGGGACCGCGGCTGCTCCTGTGTGTGGTGTGTGTGGTGTGTTTGTGTGTGTGTGTTTGTGTTTGTGTGTGTGTGTGCACTGTGTGCTTGTGCAGTGCTGTTGCACAGGCAGACACGAGGCAGCACAGTCTGGCTCCAGGGTTTATTGCAGCTGATTCCTCCCACCGTGGGTAGCAGAGCTGTGGCGGGAGCGGGGCCCGGGGAGGGAGCGGGGCCTGAGCAAAGCGGGGTCCATAAACCGTGCGGGGCAGGGAACCGGCACCGTGTCCCCCTCCCCAGGACGGGGGCGAGCGCACCCACCCCAACCCAGTGCCCGTGTGCCCAGGGCTCCGGGCCATGGCTCCTGGGCCCCAGAGCCGCTGTGTTTCGGCTGGTGAGGGTGCAGGAGCTGCGGGCAGAGCAGGACGAGCGCTGGGACTGGCACGGGAAGGGGGCACTGGGGTGGGTGTTGAGGAACACACCCGGGGCGGGTGGCTCGGGTTCCAAGATGCAGATCGAGATGCAAGTGAGACGCAGGCTGAGCTCTGGGTGGCAGCTCGAGACAAGAGGCCGTGAACTGCCAACCTTTTGGTTAACAAGGGGGGTGAAGGCTGGTGGCGCCAGCCGGGTGAGCGGACACGGAGAGACACAGCAGGAGCCGGGAATTTCGGATAACAAAGGGGACGAAGACCCGTGGCGCCAGCGAGGTGGATGGACACTGGGAGACAGAGCAGGAGTGGGGGACCCAGGAGGGAGAGCGAGACTTGAGCGAGAAGGCTGTGAGGGTATAAAAGCCCAGGGGTTCCTGTGTTGGGAGTCCTCCTTGGAGGCACCAGCTCGAGCAATAACGGCTTTATGGAACCAAAAAGGGAAAGAGAAAAAAAAGCTAAGGGAAAACTGGGATCGAAACAGTGAGGAAGCCTGGTCTGACTGTGTGTGAGTGCAGTGCAGGGAGTCAGAGCAGGCACTCACAGGAGCTGCCTGCCGGGAAGGGGCTTCAGTCCCAGCAGTGAAAGTCTCTGGCGCTGGGAGCGTGAGCACCAGAGAGTTTCGTGAATGCTCAGACTGGGAAATTTCCATAACACCGGGGATGGTGGCACCCCCCCACTGCCGGGGTTCTGGGCGCTGCAGCACGGTCAGCACACGTCTGCGGGTTTGACCAGCGTGAGGGAGGATGCGCAGTCACCGCTGTCGCAGAACCCCGGCCAAACGATGTAGTTTTTGGCATTGAGCAGCACGTCCTGGCACCTGTTGTACCACCACCCCCCGTAGCTCTTGGCGCAGTTCCCGCTGTACTGGTCCTGGTCCTTGTCCACCGTGCTGAACTTCATCCCTTGGCAGCCCCCGGGGTGATCGGAGCAGGGAAGGCAGAGCCAGGGCTCAATCAGGAGCAAGGGGCTCCCGGGGTGGTGGGAACTGCAGCTGCAGGGCTGAAGCAAGGTGAGAAATGGCTCTGTCACCTTCTGATCAACCCCTTCCTACCCCAAACAACAACCTGTGGTCATATTTTCTGTTTCGCCTAAAAGTGGATTGTTGGGGTTTTTTTCTACAGGTCTACAGGCAAAAGGATATTTTTGTGGGAAAGAAGTAAATGTGTGTACGGACATCCAGAGCAAATAGTTCAAAGCCCTTCACCTGAGCTTGTTGCGTAAGACCTGGTGCTCCAGATGCAGAGGATGCAGCTCATAGGGATGCAGGAAACAGCCCAGCAGCAGCCGCGAACCAAAAAGAAATGGTGGGATGGATGGAGTGGGGCAGACACTGGACACTCATCAGCTCCTCTTCCTTAAATCTCCACTGTTGTCCTTCTGCTTGGATTTCTGCCCGCAGCCTCCAGATCTGTGAGTGCTGCAGGAAAGGAGCAGTGAGGAAGTGGAGGACTCATCCATCCCCACGGGGCTGCTGGTCAGTCCTGCTGCTCCCAGCTCCGTGCTGGCTCCTGTCCCTTCACTCCCGGCTCTGTCCCTACACTGTCACCTCCTCTGTGTGAGCCCCTCAGCTCACAGCACTGATCACCGTGTGCCCAGCTGGTGCCTTCCCTTTGCTCAAGATTACACAAAGTGGCCTTAACATACTATTTTTGAGGAAAAATAAAGTATATCCAAATGGCCCAGGGCATTTCTCACCTGCAATTCACTGGACCTGCCCCAAGAGGTAAATTTTTCTGGAGATTTACCAGATGCTGCAGGTCAATAAAGGAGCTGAAGGAGGGGGGGAAGGCAAACAAAAGAGCAAGAGGGTGAACAGGAAGACTGTACAGCAAAGACAGTAATACCTATGGGCAGTGCTTTGTCAACAGTCCTTGGCTCCTGGCATGCCAGGACAGACAGGGCTGTGTCAGCAGAGCTGCCCAGACACCAGCCCCAGAGCTGGGTTATGGACACAGATATCTCATGCCCTCCATCAGCAAAGGACAAGGCTGAGGTCAACAACCTGGACCTACCTGCCAAGAAGGGCATTGGCACAGGTGACAGGGTGTGCTGGCACTGGGACCTCCCCCAGAACCCACCAATCTTCTGGAGGACAGCAGAGGTGGCAGTGTCACCTGGGGGTGATGGCACTGGGACCAAGCAGTCAGCACCAACCTTGTGGCAGCAGAGCCTGTGCAGGTCCCCAGTGGTGCTGTGGGGCACCCCAGGGCCAGGCAGGGACCCTCGGGCAGCTCAGCACCTGCTGGTGTCAAACCCTCAGCATCACTGTGGTCCTGCACTGGTGTCACTGGGCTTTCACCTGGCATCACTGGGCTGTGCCACTGCCCTTCTCAGCACTCCCCTCCCATTCCTGGGCCACTGGCAAGGCTGGCTCCACACTGCTCCCTGTCCATTCAGCATTTAGTCCCCTTAACCCACAGCCCCCTCAAATACAGAGGCTGCATCTGGCTGTGGGATGAGTTACCCAGAGCTGAGAGGTCAGAGCCCAACCCTCCAGCAGACTCTTGGCCTCAGCCCTGGGGGGCCTGCAGGACCTTCACACGTGGCTGCCCCGTGGGCAGGCTCAGTGCTGGAGGGTGGCACTGGGAGGGGGCTCAGGGCTGGGGATGAAGCCCCTTTGCTGCCCAGTGTGTGTAGAAACCCAGATCCACTGTCACTGTTCACCCTCAGGTGATGCACCAAGTGAAGGCAGACAGACCTGGAGGGTCTGTAACAGATTTCTGGCACTGCCCAGGGGGCTGATGTTCTTACAGGGCTTAGCATCGATCCCGTAAGTAGCAACATCCTCCAGGACAATTCCTATCAGGAGCTTTTGTTGGTTTTATTGAATTCTGTCAGCTGCTCTTTGCTGGGAATCCTTATCACAGAAGAAAAACAGTTGCAAAATCACCTGGAGAAGGAGACAAACAAACAAACAAATTTACTGGAATGGGTGAGTGCTGCTGTTTGGATTGGCCACCCCATCTCAGTGACAAGCCCTATATAACACCAGCTGCCACCAGACCTCCTCAGCTGCCCACTCCTCAGGGTCCAGAGAGAGACAGCATGGGTGAGTGTGGGATGGGATGGGATGGGATGGGATGGGATGGGATGGGATGGGATAGATGGGATGGGTGCTGTGTGCAGCTGGGTATCCCTGCATCCTCTACCTGCCTCTGGGCCACCCACACTGCAGCTCTGCCTTTCCCACTGACCCTTTCTGGCCTCGGGCTGGTGGGATGACCCTGTTCCTGCTGTACCACCCGGGTGTCTGGGATGCTCCTTTTCCTCACTCCCTCTTCTCTATTCCTGAGCACAAGCAAAACTGTCCTGCTCTGGGTGGTGTTGGAAAGGCAGCATTTATTTCAGCTGTATTTGTTGTGCCAGAGCCCAAAGCACCACCCCAGAAAAATTGGAATTGCAGCTAATTAGTGTGTTAATCACCCATTATCCTCATCGTTCCTTCAGGGTGCTAAAACTGGTTGTAGACACAAATCCATGGATATGACCATGGAGAGACTGTTGGGGAATGTCCTGATCAGGTCTGGTCCAAAGGAGCCAAATTGCTCAGGTTTCCAGATGGTGGCAGAAACCATCCCTCAGAGCATAGAATGTCCTGGTCCAGATGCCAGCCGGGATGCACATCCTTGGAGAAGCCCCGTGTGTGACAAGGAGCAGGGATCTGGTGTGGGATCAGTGCTTCATGCAGTGGGCAGCTCCCAGTCTCTGCACGATGCCCTGGTGGCAGGGAGCTGTTCTGGGACAGTGAAGTGAAGTCCCTGACTCTCATGGGATCTTCAGCATTGTGTTCACAACAGCTCCTTTCTTTCCAAGGTCTCAGGTCCCTGTGCCTTGTTTATCCCTCCTGTGGTAGCTCCTGAGTATCTTCAGGTACCAGCAGTGCCCACAACCCGGCACTCCAGTTCTCCTGCAGAGGATTCACGTTCCCAGATTCACTGTGTGTCTTCTCTCTTCAGCTGCTCGTCACTTCAACCCTCTGTTCTTGGCCTCCCTGCTGGCCCTGCTAGCCCCAGTTCCTGCTCTGGAGATTGAAAACCTGGGAAGACTGAATACAAGTTTATCTGAAATCCTTAATCTCCACTCCTTTGAGCTTCTTGCCGGTATGTGCTTTCTCTCTTACATCCCTAAACCCTGTTCATCCAAACATCAGGAGCCATCTCCTCTCTGCACAGAGAGGGAGGTGTGGAAAATGCTGCTGGGAAAGGGCAGTCACGCTCTGAAGTAAAAGGAGCCTGATCAAACCTTCCTCCAATTTAATATCTTAACCAAACATCACCAGCTTTGGTCATTCATGTTACTGGCAAGATTGTATGTGGCAGCTTTTTCTGGAGAGCTGTGGATATTCAAAGGAAGACAGAGCTTTTCTATTCCTTTATGTATTCTCTTCCTAAATGTGTATTCCTGTAGTCCATCTGGAGTTCTGAAACTTCAGAGAAACTTTGTATATGTGACCAACCAAAAGGCTTTTTGAAGCTTGCACGTGGCTAAACGATCCCAAAGCCTCATCACACCACTGATGGAGGTCACACCTCCAGAGGCTCTCAGGGAAACACCGTCTTACTAAGATGGGTGCTGGGTTTTCTCCTAAATAGAGTTCTCTCCTGTGAGCTTCTTTCCTCCCTGAAGGTTTCTGAAGGTCTTTGTGGATCGAATGAACACATGAGCCCTTCAGCCATCAGTGGAAAGCACGTTCACAGCAACAGCTCTCAGCAGTTTCACCTTGGTCTGAGAGCCCATTTCCCTCTCAGTCCTTCCCTGTGCAGCCTTGTGCTCATCACCTCTGCTCTGAGCAACCTGGTCTAGTGCAAAGTGTTCCTGCTCATAGCAGGGAGGTTGGACTAGATGGTCTTTGAAAGGTCCCTTCCTACCCAAACCATTCCATGATTCCATGGTTCCACTTGGCCATGCCATCTGCTCCACAGCATAATGCTGAGAGGAGCAAATAGGCAGCGTTACCGTTCCTGGTGTCTGATCCCTTTGAAGAGTTCCCAGCCAAAAACTACCACCCAGGAGGAAAAACGAGCACTGCTGAGGTGCCCTTCAAAAACCTCCGTGCTGTCAATGCCAGCCCATGGGGGCTGGACTTACCTCTGTGCTGTGGCACAGGGCTGCTCACCTCACTCCTGTTTTTTTCCAGAGGCAAATGGAGCCGATGACCATGAGAAGTTGAACATGACGAGTCGCCTTTCATATGGATCAACACACGAGAGTAAGGGCCTGACATGCCACAGGGAATGGGGAGAGGTGTAGGGAATGAGGGGTGTAGGGAACTGTGGTGGTGGGTGGGCATCGAGCCTGGGGAGCAGCCAGCCCAGCGCCTGAGCAGGATTTGATGTGCTCATCCACACACCAAGGGCACCAAGGCCTCACTCCACACCAGTGAGAACTCCACACTGAGCCGTGACTGACACGAGCCCAGAGGATTTCTACAGGGGGAAATAGGGATAGGACAGGGGGGAATGGTTTTAAACTGAAAGAGGAGAAATTTAGAGGAGATGTTGGGAAGAAATTCTTTCCTGTGAGGGTGGTGAGGCCCTGGCACAGGTTGCCCAGAGAAGCTGTGGCTGCCCCATCCCTGGAAGGCCAGGTTGGAGGGGGCTTGGAGCAACCTGGGAGAGTGGAAAGTGTCTCTGCTTATGGCAGGAGGGTGGAACTGGATGAGTTTTAAGGTCCCTTCAACCCAAACCATTCTGGGATTCTGTGACCTCAGAGAACTCTGCAGCCATTACTTACATGCCACAGGATGTGCCTCCCAAGCAAAGCTTTCTGGGATCTCAGAGCCATCCATGGGGTATCCAATGCCAAGGGAATGAGGTTTCCTCTTTCCCAGCTCCAGAGTGATTGCAGGGTTGCAGGGACGGCAGACTGGGATGTTGTTGTGCCTGTTGTTCTCTCATTCCCTGTGGTCTCTCATACCCCAGACAACATCAGGGATTGCAGTGATCTCCCTCCTAACAGCCCCAGTGGCACCTACGCCATCCAGCCCCGGGGGTATAAGGTCATCATGGTGTACTGCGAGATGGATGAGTCAGGTGGGGGCTGGACCGTGATCCAGAGGAACCGGCAGGACACGGATGTCAACTGGGCCGAGACCTGGAGCGCCTACAGGCAAGGCTTTGGGAACTTGAAGGGTGAATTCTGGCTGGGCAACGAGTACATCTACCAGATCGCCATGCAGAGGTCCTACCAGGTCAAGTTTATAATCTGGGATGCTTCAAACAACAAGCTGTTTGCAGACTACAACATGTTCCGCCTGGACGATGAGTCCCAGGGCTACAGGCTGAGGCTGGGGGCGCACTCGGGGACAGCAGAGGATGCCATGGCCCTCTTGAACAACTCCATCATCCACGACAACATGAAGTTCTCCACTAAAGATCGAGATCAGGACACTTTCAGTGGGAACTGTGCTTCCAACTCTGGGGGTGGGTGGTGGTACTCGGCGTGTTACTCTGTGCTGCTGAATTTTGAGGGGCCCCTGACATGGGGAGACTCGTGCCAGGCGAACTGCCAAGCCTCTACCATCCTCATCAAGCCCCTCAAATGCTAGCTGCATTTTAATTTCCTTTCTGTCCAACCTGTGGCCAATTCTGGCTCTGCAAAGAGCCAGAACAAGGCAAAACTTGCCATGACCAAACCAGGGGGTCTTTGCAGAGGTTGATCATACTTAGCTACCAAAGAAATAAGGCATTTTTCACTTCTTCTCCTTCCTGTACCTTCTCTCTACGACTGTGTCTATGTCCTCTTGTTCAGAGTCAGATCACTTTAATTATGTTAATAATCAGAACAGTCTCTTGGAAACTCAGAAGTCTCCAGATCAGTTGTGTGCTTCATATAAAATGTGAAATGGTCAACACAATAGACTTTCATGGCTTTATTAGTTCATTTACATCCTTAATTTCAGGGAAATTACCTAATTTTCACTTGCTGAAGATCTTGCTCAAGATATTAACATGCACAGTCAACTTCCTACTCTGAATCTCCTGTACGTAGGGCTTAACAGATGTTAGATTGTCAAATAAATCAGTATGCAAAGAACTGTCTGACTTGTGAAAGCCTATTTTGGGTCTTTGAAGCGCTCACAGAGGTCAATGCATTGGAGGGTTTCCACCACTGCAGATCAGCCTTTCCCTGAGCCAGGGCCACCATGACTTCCCAGAGGTGACAGCACAGAGGGGAGGCACCGTCCTGCCTTTGCCTCTTTGAATAGGAAAACAAGATTTCAAAGTGCCGTAAAATCCATGTGTGGGAAGAGCACCTGTGGGCCATCCCTCTGGCTGTGACCCCTGCACAGAGGGGCAGCAGGATGAGTCTGTTGGTGTCCCAAGGTTCCCCTTGGCAGGAGGAGGTGATCTGGGAGCCCCCCAAGCCAATGATGAGGATGGGAAGCAGCCTGTCCTCAAAAAACCTCTGCATGACCCCTCATTCCTGTGCCTAACAGCACCCCCAAAGTGCCCCCTGCTCTTTCCATGAGCTGCAGCACAGCAGAGGCTGAGGCTTAACACAGTCAGGGTTAGCAAAGAAAGTCTGCAGGCTCAGCACAGGTCCTGTGTGCCCAACAGGTCCCAGGAAAGGGGGGATTTGTGAGGTGTTTTATGGCTTTTGGGATTTTAGGACCATGTGTCCTAACGAGAGGTCTTGTTTGAGAAGGAGGGACTCAGGTCTGAACCAGTAGGGAAGAGCAAAGCCAGGGAGCGCGGGAAGGGCTCGGGGAGCTCTGGCACAAGGAGTCAGTAGGTGAGGGAATAGAGCAGGATTTGCATGAATTTATGTCAGACCTCAGCTCAGACCAGGCAGAAGCCTTTGAGCAGGACCTGTTGGCTCTGCCAGGGTCAAACCTGTGGACACAATGGATCCATCACTTAGACCACCAACCCTCCCAGAAAGCAGCAATTCCCACAACAACCATGGCCTTACATTTCTCCTGAAAGGATCAAGGGGAGGTTCAGGTTGGATATTAGGAAAAATTTCTTCCCTGAAAGAGTGGTTAAGCATTGGCACAGCTGCCCAGGGCAGGGGTGGAGTCACCACCCCTGGAGGGATTTAACAGATGTGTGGATGTGGCACTTGGGGACATGGGTCAGTAATGGGAATGGTTGGACTTGATGACCTTAGAGGGCTTTTCCAACCCTAATGATTCTATGATATGTTCTCATCTCTGAGGGCAGGACCCTCCAGCAGATGCCACCCATTCCAGTTTCTATCCTCCGTGGCACCGATGTGCTAAAAATGCCTGCAGTGGCACGTGAGTTCTGGAGTGCCTTTGGCTCGGGGAGATGAGAGCTGTCTCCACATCAATACATGAGCTAGCAAATAAAAACCAGCGCAGACAAACCCTTTCTTGCCTTGTCGTGCTCGTGTGGGATTTTGCACACCATGGTTTTACTGGGTCTGCATGTCTGCCTCGCAGCGTGGGATTTCTTCCTGCCTCCTACCACCTCCTGCCCAGGCCCCTCTGCAGTGACTCAGGAGGTGTGTGACAGGCAGGAGTAGGCAGCTGCCAGCTCAGAAATAAAATGTTCCTCAGCCCTCAAACTTGGGAATTTCTTGTTGCATTCAGGAATCTTTTGGGGGTTGTGGGTTTTTTTTTTTTTGGTAACTCTCTTGCCTTGAGATAGATGTGGAGAGGTGTGATTAAAGGGACCCTCTGCTAATGCCCCCTCATGCCAGGACCAGTGGTTGGGCACCCACCGTGCAGCCCAGGCAGCAGCTCCCAGCACCACATTCCCCATCCATGGCAGGAAGGATGATTCCACTGGATATTCCGTCCTTGTGGCAACTCTCCTTCATGAGATGCAAAAAAACCTCTTTTGTACAAATGTCCCCTCGTTACCTTTAACCAGTGTGACTTTGGTGAAGTGGGGGTGACTGTCACACTCTGCCCTTGTGAGACCCCCCCTGCAGAGCTGCCTCCAGCTCTGGGGGTCTCAGAAGGACGTGGAGCTGCTGGAGCGAGTCCAGAGGAGGCCACGGAGATGCTCCAGGGCTGGAGCCCCTCTGCTCTGGAGCCAGGCTGGGAGAGCTGGGGGGGTTCACCTGGAGAAGAGAAGGCTCCAAGGAGACCTGAGAGCTTCCAGGGCTTAAAAGGGATCCAGAGTTGGAGAGAGACTTGGAACAAGGGCTGGAGGGACAGGACAAAGGGCAATGGCTTCAAACTGATAGAGGGCAGGGTTGGATGGGATATTGGCAAGAAATTCTCCCCTGTGAGGATGGGGAGTCCCTGGCACAGAGAAGCTGTGGCTGCCCCATCCCTGGAAGTGTCCCAGACCAGGTTGGATGGGCCTTGGAGCTACTTGGGAGGTGACACTGCCTGTGGCAGGGGGTGGAACAAGAGGATGTTTAAGGTCCCTTCCAACCCAAACCATTCTGTGAGTCACTGAAGTGATACCTTGTTTTTCCTACAAGCTCCAGGGTCGTGCCTGTCCTCAGGTCTCTCCTGCTCTCTCCAGGGAGGCTCAGCTTGATCCCGTAGTAACAGAACCATTCTGTGGCTTCCAGCCCTCTCCAGCAGGCTCCTCTTTCTGGGCAAGCAAGCAGACACCCACGACCATCATGAAACACTTATTAAAGTGCAAAGTCCATGTGAAAAGAAGTGATTTGAGGAATGGAATCTGGCTGTTGCTTTTCTGCCGGTCCCCAGAGGGTGCTCTCGCCCCGGGTTTGCCAGGCAGCTTCCAGCGGGAAGGAAGTCTGGCAGGCAGGGAGAGTCCATAAGTATTCCCATAAAGGGTCCAGCTGCAGGCTGCAGCTTTTTCCTCCACGTTTGTTGCTCTGTTCAGCTGCTCCATGGAGTGCTGAGAGTCCACCAGCAGTGCCTGCTCACACAGGAATGTGAGTGGGGCCACCTGGGGAAGAAAGAACCAAGAACCTCACTGGATAAAGAATCAGAAACATTAGGTTGGAAGGGACCTTAAAGCTCAACTTGTCCCACCCCCTGCCATGGGCTGGAACACCTTCCACTATCCCAGGTTGTTCCAAACCCCGTCCAACCTGGCCTTGGACACTTCCAGGGCTGGGGCAGCCACAGCTTCAATGGGCAAGCAGAAAATACACAGCAGAAACAGGCAGAGAGAATACAAAGGTGTCCCTGAAGTAGGGTTTCCTAACCTTTCCCAAAGGATTTAGTGTGGGCCTCAGAATCATCCTCTAGGGAATGTTGTGAGCTTACACAGGAGGGAATGATGAGTTCAGGAACACAAATTCCAGGCCATTCTGATTCTGTTGGGAGGGGAGAGGGAAGAGCAGGATGCTGCCAGGGAGAGGCAGCAAAAAGCAGTCAAAGAGGTGGGAGAGTGCTGAGCTGCTTGTCCCAGGCATCCACTTCTCCTCAGCATGGCTGCATATCTTCTACAGGGAAAAAGGGAATGAGAGAAAGATATAATCTGCTTCTTTTCCCAGATCTTTTACTCATCTGAAGCCAAAGAAGGAAAGTACAAAGACTTTCTCTGCCAATTCTTGCACAGGCCTGAGGAACAGATATCCAGATGGTTCTGACAAGCTGGGGATGCCTCTCACCCCGAGGGCTTGGAAGGTTTCACTCTGTGCCCACCAAGGCCTGTGCAATGGATGGCTGAGGGTGAACTTGTACCTGTGTCCTGAGTTCCCATCAGTCAGCCTTCCTTTGGACACACAGGGAATTTTAACAGCTCCAGTCCTCCATCAGTTTGTCCTATTCCTTACTGAGTCCATTCAGACTTCTGGTTTCACAACATCCTGAGGTGAACTTGCCACTCCTTTGCCTGGTGCCCCCAGGATCACAGAATCACAGAATAGTGAAGGTTGGAAGGGACCTCTGGGGATCATCTGGTCTGACTACCAGCTGTGAAAATGCTCAATAACCATCTTTAACCACTCCATGTTCCTATTGCATTAATGTCTGCATCCCCAGTGCCCTTCTGGTGCCTAAAGGGGCTCCAAGGGAGCTGGAGAGGGACTTTGGACAAAGGTCTGGAGGGACAGGACAAGGGGGAATGTCTTAACACTGCCAGAGGGCAGGTTTACATGGGATATTGGGAAGGAATTCCTGGCTGTGAGGGTGGTGAGGCCCTGGCACAGGTTGCCCAGAGAAGCTGTGGTTGCCCCATCCCTGGAAGTGTTCCAGGCCAGGTTGAACAAGGCTTGGAGCAACCTGGGATAGTGCAAGGTGTCCCAACCTGTGGCAGGGGATTGGAACATCATTTATCTCTTTTCTAACACAGTCCTCATCTATTCAGCCTTTTCTTGCAGGGATGTCATTTCCACCTCTCATCACACATTTTCTCCATCTCTGTGACCTTTTCCAGTTCTTCTCCATCTTTTCTGAGCCAGGCACCGAAGCCACACACTCCCATGAGCATCCCCTTCTTTATATGGGGCAAGTGACATTTTCCTTGCAATTTCTGGAGCCTTTTTAAATTTTTAATTACTCCTGAACCTTCAGCTGATGTTTTCAGAGAACTGCCTACAGTTACCCTCAGCTCTTCACTGGCATCAGCTAATTTAGAGTTCCCCCATGAACAGCGAGGGATGTGCTTCACTTCATCCTTATCAACATTGAATCTCATTTTCCACGTTATCACCCACTCGCTCTGCAGCCTGAAATCCTCCCAGTCACCTTTAGCTATGACAGTTCTGAACTATTTTCACCACCAGAAACGTTGCCACCATGCTATTTACGGCCTTTCCTCCATCACTTATGAAGACGCTGAAAATTCCAGTCCCAGCAGAGATACTCGGAGCATCCGCCAGGAAATCTCTGCATTTTCACCAATTTGCCTTATCTTTGCTTCCCAGTTTTGCAAGTTGTTGAGCTGTTACAGGTCAGTGCCCCTGAAAACTCTGTGACAGATCTTCTGGAAAGCTTTTTTGGATGGCATTACACTGATCAGATCACTGTTGTCCACACACACCACCTCTGCTGTAACAGATTTCCGAGCCACAACATTCCTCTAAAAACTACATTGACTCTTCCTCGGGTTATTGTATTTAAAGAATCATAGAATCATGGAATACCCTCAACTGGAAAGGACCCACAAGGATCATCAAGTCCAGCTCCTGGC